TAAAAAGAACGTATAAACATAAAAAATATCTTAAAAAATAATTGTCGCACTTTGTCCATTTCATTATATATATATATATATATATATATATATATATATGTATATACAGTAGTAAGAGTAAACTTTTTGTGGGGTGCGAGAAATATTCATGAAAGCAGATGTAAAGCCAATATTTTATTTCCTTTTATAATTTTCAATTATCTACATTTTGCTTTGTTTCTACTTTCATATTATACAGTTATGTGTGCATTTTATGTATAGTTTTATAATTTGATGAAAATTAAATAAATGCGGCGATGCAATTAAGGAAGGAAGAAAGAATAAAAACATTACAAAATTTTTACCAAAATTAATAAAAATGGAGTTAAAGCCGCTTTTTTTTCTCTCAACAGAATTCGTCTAGTGCAGAGATAAAATGACATGATGCATACGTGTTGACCCCAAAATTAGGAAGGCCAATTTCAGTAACAAGTTTATAAAAGAACAATGAAATAATAGAATAATTGTTGAGCAATTCTCAAAATCGAGTAGATGCCTTTCTTCAGATTCGGGTATCAGTAATACTTAAGTAACTTAAGATGAGACTTGATGTCCAGCGGTTGTTACTACGTTTGGTGATGTAGATACAGATACACTCTTAGATTATTGCAATGTTTTTCTGAATAAAGTTAAATTGATAAGATTCCTTGTAACACCAAAGGTGAACTGAAGGCAAGGATTGCGGCAAAATGCACTAACTTAAACAAGGAAACCATTCAGAAGAGAGGCACGAAATTCTGAAGTTCTTTGGAGGCCGGGGTTGAAGCCAATTTAGTTTTATTGAACATATTTACTCAGGAAATTTTTGTGTAACTTTGGTAAATATATATGCTAACATAAGAGGTCAATGTTATTTTCATTTCTGCATAATTTAAGCGATAAATTATCCATCGCACACTGTATATATATAAACAAACACACACACACACACAGACATATATATATATATATATATATATATATATATATATATATATATATATATATATATATATATATATACGCCCAAACAAACACACACACACACATATATATATATATATATATATATATATATATATACGGCCCGAATTACCCTGACGATGCTTTTAGGTGAAACCTAGGTAGGTTAGACTTGCGCCTGAGGTTTATCTTAGGTTTTCTCTACTTCGTGTAGTGAGCACTTTACGTAGTTGCTTTTACTCGTTTTGGAGTTTTTTTTCCTTTGGACATTGAGATTGAACTCTGGACGATTGTTTTCGCCTTTGGTTCCTGTTATTGGTTCTTTTATTTCTCATTTTTCCTTGGTTACAGGTTTATTTTACTACAAGTCGAAATATCCAATCGGGTATCAACATTTATTTAATATATATATATATATATATATATATACACAAACACACACACACGAATGTTCACAATACATCTTTTTTGAATGTCTTATTCGCAGCTTTGATATTGCCATTATCATTATTATTAGTATTTTGTTACTTTTTTTTATTTGAGTTTATTTTTTTCGCACCCCCGAATTTCTGACAATGATTTTCGAAAAGGATTCTTTATTCCGTTTTTATATTATTAGTTTTAGTTTCCTTTTTCTTTCCCTGTTATTTTGCTTTATTTTATTTTTATTCTTTTTTCGCTCTGATCCAATCTCAATACACAACACATCTATTTTTGTATGTTTTTCCCCTTCTCATATTATCTTTATCTGTATTTTTAGTATTTTGTTATTATTTATTTCTTATTTCAGTTTATTTTTTCCGCACCCTCCCCCCATTTTTTAACAATGATTTTCCTAAAAGATTTTTTTTCTTTTTTGCTATTTCTTTCCTGTCTCCTTTTTTTATTTTTCTCTTCAGGTTTTTTAATTTTATTTTTATTGACAATCTCGCTATGTTCTCACACTATATCCTACAATATCTTTCAACACTAATAGAGTCCCCACTCCTGCTCCTATAACCGTTTTTCCTCTATGTTTAAGATCTCACTCCCTTTCCACCCACTACCAATCACAATTTTTAAATATAAGTTTATTTTTACAAAAGTTTCGCACAACGAGAAATCAAACAAGAAACAGATTTTTTCTAACAATTCCACGCACAAGCGGGCTATACCCAGCCTCAAGAACTAATGTTGATAGTCTTCACCGTCTCTCTGTTTATTTCTGGCATCCGCCGATGAAGAACACAGGCTTGTTCGATAAATTAGAACGTGTAATCTCAACTCTGTGGTTCATTTTTGTAACCTGGTTAATATTAAATATTTTTCGTACTGACTACATTCGTACCTTTTCGTTTGACTTAATTTTACTGATCAACTTATATACTCTATTTTATAAACTATATAAAAGCACACATGGTTTTTTAATCTAATTATATATATATATATATATATATATATATATATATATATATATATATATAGTCGACTCTCCCGTCGAATTCAACGTAAGAGGTCAAACAGATCCCAGGAAACAAGGAAACCAGGAAACCAACAGCCTGACAACAGCACATATATATATATATATATATATATATATATATATATGAGGCACGGTGGTTGTAATATATATATACACGTGTCATATATATATATATATATATATATATGACACGTGTAAATACAAAATTGTGCAGATCATGTAACAGTAAAATTGTCCAATTGTTAGATTAATCTCTGACCCGTTGTATCTTAGAAATGATTAAATATATCTAACTGGAATTCTCCGAGGTTTTCATAAGACTATTGGAGTCTACTTTGACGCATAAGATATAAGTATAATTAGTCTCGAAGCTTAACAGAATTATCGTCTTGACATCGTTCATAAAAAATTACATCTTCAATATTAATTAATCAGAGCTAAGGATCGGAAAGTCATTGTTTGAAATTACGTGAATATATATATATATATATATATATATATATATATATATATATATATATATATATATAGAGAGAGAGAGAGAGAGAGAGAGATTATTCCGGGATCATTTATTTATTCCAGACAATATTTGTCCTCTCTAACTTTTTTAGTTTATTTCCTGGAGTAAAATGGTGCCTTACAGTTTTCAGATATTGTTTCATTTAAAGCCATTTTCACTGCTCTTTGGGCTGTCATAGCTAAATCTCTTTCTAGTACTAAACATCTTATTGATTGATTTGGATCTTTTCTAATTGATCTCTTTAGCTCTCAGCCGAAACGATGGTGCCTCTTCCTGTTGTAACCTCCTAATTCAGTTTTCCTCTCCTGTTCACGCTGTTTAATATTTTCACCGTTCTCTTCATGGATCTTGAATGAACATCGAAGAAGGAAGATAGAGGATGAATTTTGGTACTATTAATGAAGGCCTAAATGAATCTTATTCGTTCACCATCTCTCAGTTGTGTCAGACGCAAAACAATTTTAACCTGCTCTCTTATTAGCTGAATAACCCAATGATATTGCCAGTGATTCTTCCGACAAATAGTGTTACACGATTTGGTCAATTTTGCTGTTACACCCGGTATATATATTATGATATGTCTCATTGAATAATTTATACAAGTTTTCTACTTATTTTCAATTTGATTCTCTCATATTCACGGAGAATCTTCTTAGTAACATTCATAATGGAAGAGAGAAATTACCATATTGATATATATTCATTTATTCCGAGTACTTTCGACATTAGAACAATGTCATCATCACAGTGTAGTTTTTTCTCAGACAAAAATTGTTGTGTGCATCTTTTTGTAAGACAAAATTATTGTATTCACCTGAAAGTTATATTTTTAACTTCTGAAGTAAAAAAATGAGTGGGTTATGCATTGTACGATTTAAATTTCATGATGTAAAAGTCAGGAGAAGTTACTAAGTTATGAAATATCTAACTGTTGAAAGAAACTATTATTGAAAACCTAGATATTTTAAACTATCTACTGTGAACATTTTAAAACATTTGTGCAATATTCTTAATTAATATTATTAATGGTCGATTTCAATCCATCTAACCGAAAAAAATAACAAACTTATCACAATAAAAAAAATAATTCATTCTAAAAGCAGATATTCTACACGGGACCAAAAATATAAAACAATCTCTTCTTAATAATAACTTACCTAATTATATTGTGGATGAATTTAAGACGTTCTATTACAAATTTAACAAAAAGAAGGAGAATAAAATAATTCTTCAAACAAGCAGAATATAATAATTCTTCAAATATCGATAAATACATTTTTATATCACAATTAAATACATTCTATTCATAAGATAAAAAATATTCTTAAAATCTGATAAGTCCTATTATATCCACCAGACTGCCTAGTAAAAAAATAAAAATAATTGCATAAATTAAATTCAGTATATTCAGTATTACTATTGGTAATGATTCTTCACCAATAAAAACCTATTGAAGAAAACGAACACTATATATAAATTTATATGTCGCTTTGGAGATTGTATCTCCAAAAGAAAGAAAAAAAAACTATATATATATATATATATATAGGTGTCACACAAATATTACGTTGCCTCAAAGGTTGAGCTTTCATTTGAATGCTGCATCAAAAATATCACAACATTAACAACAGGAAACACATTCGCAATTGATGCAAATTCTTGGGAGAATTAACCAATAATTTTCATTAGAATAATAAGCATAAACTAAAAAATACTTGAATCACTCTATATGAAAAAATTGACACCAACCCTTGAGAAAATTAATTATGAATGCTGTACAGATTTTTAAAAATATTCACAGTAGAGAGTTTAAATACAATATATATATATATAGTCATCCACAGTCCAACTGTATCGCCGCTCCTCAGTGGGGCTAGACGTCCGATGAATTAAAGCTGGGATCGAAACCCGAATCAGTCAGATATCTTACCATCGTTGCACGACAGAAATCAAGCGAATTTTGATATTTTTCTCAATACGAAATGCGCCGGTGGCTCGGAGAACTCAAACTTAAAGAGTAATACTTAATAGCAGTAGACTCCCTTGTTTTTATACCCACCTACCTACCTACCTACCTATCTATCTATCTATCTATCTATCTATCTATCTATCTATCTATCTATCTATCTATCTATCTATCTATCTATCTCTCTCTCTACATATGTATATATATATATATATATATATATATTTCTGTAGTTTAAAGCTACTAGCAAGCAGAAATATTTCTCCTCCCGATGATGGGCATGTTGGTCGAAACTAGTCGAGGTATCTAAATGAAATAATAATAAAACAACGAAAGAATATTAATCTACAACCCAGTGTGTCTAACGATTTTAATTTTTTTTTGTTCATTATTCAATATATATATATATATATATATATATATATATATATATATTTGTGTGTGTGTGTCTAAATTAAAAGGTTTTGAAATTTTTTAAATATTATGGCAATTATTCCCATCTATTTATATTGTGTAAGAAAGTGCAATTTTGTGTATTTTTCAGCCATACCCTATACAAAATTCGAGGAGATAATTGCTTATAAATTCTGTTATTTCAGAAAGAAAACATTGACTAAAAATGAAAAGCAAACAATGAAAAACCTATACATTTGCGCAGAAATATTCGAAGAAGACAAAAGAAATTGTGCAGGAAAGAATGAAAAATAGAAAACATCTACTGATAATTGCTTAATTAATACTTTTTTACATTTTTTTTTTTTGGCTCGTTTCGGGGTGAATGGAGGGGTTACGTTTTGGGGCCTTTTGGGCGTGACTGCTGGAAAAAGTTATAACAAAGTTTCCCGCGTTTCAAATTTTGATAGATTCTGAATGAAAGACAATGGTAAGTCGTTCTGTTGTTCAAGTGGAGTTTCCTCAATGGATTTACGGAAACGACACCAAAGAATTTACTAACGAAACATAAGAAATGTCGGCTTACTTAGGCAAAATCTGAAACAAAAAAGCTATATAATAAGGACACTTACATTCGCACGCACACACACACGCACATATATATATATATATATATATATATATATATATATATATATATATATATAAAGAGAGAGAATGAAAACTGAGACTGCGTCTTTCCTGTTTTTGATGACAACCAGCGAGCGAAAGACGTTACTTCGTCGTTGACAGAATACTGAGGTAACAAAGAAAATATATAAGTCAAGCAACGAGTTTGCATTGATCAGTTTTCGTTGCTAGTCGATTTCTTTTGTCTTTTTGCTTTGTCGTCTTCTACATTATTTCCTGTGCTTGGCGGCAACAATGGCGGACAACTCTTGCCTTGTCGCATGAATATAAGTCGTCGTCTGAAGCTAGTTTGGAAGATGCCAACATCAAAAGCACACATTTGAATGATTTTAACGCACAAGTCTTATTTTTTTACTCTTTCAGTTGGGATAAACATGTGAGAGGTGGCAGAACGCATATAAAAGCATTCCCATAATGACAGGGAGCATAATAATGTGGAATGTACACTTGTAATTCAGTAGAAAATAATAATAATAATAATAATAATAATAATAATAATAATAATAAAAACTCAACAAATACCAGTTAAACGTGGAAGATGAATATGTTTTGTGAGGAGACGTTATCCATGAAAATTGCGGCGAATAAAAGGTGTTATCTCGTAAAATACTGATATATTGCAACTGCAAGCGCTTCTTGTAAACAAACACTACCGACGTATTATATCTACATATTTTAAAAATTTCTTTGTTTTTTGCCTTCTTATCTTCCTCGTTCATAAAAATGTGACACTTGTCACAGTTTATGCAGTCGTTTTTTTAAATACTTGCATGAAGAGAAGATAGAAAGATATATTACTAACTGCTACCAAAATGGAATGAGTAAATCGATTATATATATATATATATATATATATATATATATATATATATATGTATGTACACAGTGTATCGAAAATACTTTTACAAAATTTGAGGGCGAGTTCCTGCAACAAACCAAGGAAAAATGTTCATATAAAACTGTATGTACGCAAATGCTTTTTTTTTTTTAGTTATTAAGTTTAATGTTTACGGTAGATGGTGCTATGTTGCAATTTGGACTAGGTTATATTTGTCAATCGTGTACATTTATGGCTAGTGTGTCTTCAGTCTGTTAAGCGTGTAGTAGTGAGTTAGCTTTGAAGTGTGCCGTTTAACAATGATAGAATATTCATATCGTGAGTAGGGAGATATGATTTTACAGACGGCCGCCCGAAATTTATAATGTGAGAAGGGCCGCAATGATGTGGATGATTGCTTTTCCAGACCAATGCAGCGGAGTTATGCAACATTTCCTACTGTTTATCGTCGTGTTACTGAGACAGGGTACGTAGCAACACAAATTTTGCCTGACCACGAATTACACATTCTACATAGACTTTGGGACATATGGATATTTTCCCTTGTTTTGCTATCAAGAACTCTCTCCCAAAGTATTTTTTTTTTTTTTGATATACCTTTCATCATATATATATATATATATATATATATATATATATATATATATATATACTTTCATATATATATATATATATATATATATATATATTGTCATCCACCGACAGATCATCTGTTGTTTACATCATGAAAGTTAAAACTCGAACCTGATTATGAGAAGATACCACTGAATTATTCAATGATGCATGCGTTAATGAAAATCTACTGCAAGAATGAATATATATATATATATATATATGAAGAAAAATTTGGAAAAAACAAACAAAAATCCTTAAATGCAATTATGTTGTTTAAAATGAATGAAATGACGACGTCTAACGTTTCGGTTTAATAAACCTTCTTCAGGAAAATATTCATTAAAATACAATTCAGTTCAATTTGACAAAGACGATGGACATGAAAACAAGTCTTATCCAAGATTTTTTTTTCTTCATTCTGTCGGATCTATATCCATTTACATTTGCTTACATATATATATATATATATATATATATATATATATATATAATTTAAAGAAACACAGACCACTTTAAGGCTCCAATATAATAATTTATTTCGCAGAGACCTTTTAAGGGACGCTGGATCATCGAAAAACACTTCCAAAAATGAAAGGAATGATGCAATGAAAATCCTAACTTTTGACGGTTAGTATCAGGTTTATGTAATTTTACAGAGAGGGTAGGGAGGAATGGTGGGAGAGACATGATTGAGTTTAGAGAGGGTTTATTTTTATATTTCTCTCAATCATATTTAGTATTAGGGGGGTAGGGTCAAGACCTTGACCTATTTAAACGATTAACTTAACGGAAGTGATATATTGAAACGGGAGGGTAGAGGAGAGAAAAAGAAAAAGAAAAAAAGAAAGAAGGGGAAGTAAAGAGAAGCTGTAATTATATTTTACGTAGGAAGAAGATGATGGTATAATTTAAAAACTATTTTACAAATAGTTACAAATTATTTACATGAATTAGATTCAAACTGATAAAGATGTTACCTTAACAGTCCTTTACAATATTAAAAGATTACTATCAGTAAACTGTTATATTTAAAAAAAAAATCTTTGTATTTGTTCTCTATGAATGTGTTAATAAATACAGTATTTATGTTATATTAAATCCCTAAGTTATTCCTAAAAATGTTGAATATTTAAATTGCTAGCAAGCATCAAATTCATTTCTTCGTTGTTTTTATGAACATTTAAATTACTATCAAACATTAAAATCTATTTTTTACATAAATTACTAAAAAAAATACCACCCCACTTCTTCCTACGTAAAACCTAATTACAGCTTCTTTCTCTTTACTTTCCTCTTCTTTCTTTTTTCTTTTTCTTTTTCTCTCTTCTCTCCACCCATCACTCCCGTTAAGTTAACCGTTTAAATAAGTCAAGGTCTGGTCCCTCCTCCCTCAATACTAAGTATGACTGAGGGAAATATTACAATAAACCCTCTCTAAACTCAACCATGTCCCTCACACCACTCCTCCCTACCCTCTCTGTTAAATTACATAAACTTGAAACTAGCCGTCAAAAGTATGAATTTTCATTTCATGTTTCATTTCATTTTTGGAAGTGTTATCTGATGATCCAGCATCCCTTAAGAGGGCTCTGGTTAAATAAATCATTATAATGGAACCATAAATGTTCTGTTCGGATCTAAACCCGACTGAATTGGCGCACGACAGATAGATAGATAGATAGATAGAATGAGAGACAGAAAGAGATAGAGAGAGAGTGCGTGTGTGTGTGTGAGAGAGAGAGAGAGAGTGTGTGTATGTGTGTGTGTGAGAGAGAGAGAGAGAGAGAGAGAGTGTGTATGTGTGTGTGTGTGTGTGTGTGTGTGTGAGAGAGAGAGAGAGAGAGAGAGAAAATAATGTTGGGATAAACTGGTTTTTGAAAGTAGATTCTGATTTTCGCCATGGGTACAATTCTTCATTGTGTAAATGACTTTGTTTCTGTTCAAATTCTTTTGTGTTTAATCGTCCAATCAGACAAGCTCAATTTGACAAGCTTTCAGACAATCAGGCGAGATCCCTGGAGTGAATTATTTCATATACAAGTATTAAAATGATTTAATAAAACATTTTAGGGAAAATACAAAAAAGCGAAAGGAAATTTAATTAAGTGTTAAAGATCAAATTATTATTATTATTATTATTATTATTATTATTATTATTATTATTATTTCCTTTGATTTCTGGTGTTTACACATTTCTTTTCGGTTTCTCCCAGGGACCTAAGGTTAGAGATTTGATCATGAAACTTTCCACCGACAAAAAAAAAAAAAAAAACATAGATGAAGCCCTTCGTAAAGTGTGGACTGCACATGAAAGAACAATCTCTTTGAGGCATGGACTTCCAGGAATCCCTTCAGTTAGTCTATTGGAATCTTTTCCAACCATTCCTAGGGCTCCAACTACAACAGGGATTGTTGATGTTCCCATGTGCCACATTTTTGAGATTTCTTTTTCAAGGTCCTTGTATTTTGACAGCTTTTTGAATATCTTCAAAGATACATTGCAGTCAGCAGGGACTGCCATATCAATAAGGAGCCAATTTTTTTTTATTTGTGGTCTTTAATAACAATGTATTATTAATATTATTATTATTATTAGTAGTAGTAGTCGTAGTAGTAGTAGTAGTAGTCGTAGTAGTATTTCCCTAAATCTAAACCAGAAGA